GGAAAGAGGAGATTCTGGACGGAGTGGAGGCGATCATTTTTCAAAGAGGGAAGTTACTCCATTTTCTATGCAAATGACAGAAATGCAAGAAGCTCTCACAAGTCAGAGAGGCAATCGACGGCTCTCAGGTTGGGACAATATTTGTCAGCTATCAGATAAGCAAACGCTGTGTCTCCCTCCCTATCTATTTTACTTAGACCACAGACATGGACGTCAAAAGGTAAGGGAATAATATCTGTTTATCTTGATTTTCATTTTTTTTTTTGTTCTTCTTGGAGAAAATGTATTTGTCAAGTTGCCTTTTTTTTATTCCATTCCCCATCTCGCCTCCAGCCGGGGTGTGTGGGGGGGAAATAGGAAGAAAAGGGTGGGGTGATGAAGAAGGGAAGAAATCAGGGGTGTTGGAAATCTGTTTAAATGACAATTCGCCCGAAAAAAATAAAAAAGTGGAGCGTAAAGGTGAGAAAAGGAGAGAAAGGGAGAGAGCAGAATGGGGAAAAAAAAGGTAAAGAAATTGAGAGAAGGAAGGAGGTGGAGAAAGAAAATATTAAAATATGTATATAAGAGATGGAAAGAAAGAGGTGGGGGAAAAAATTAGGAAGGAACTAAGAAAGAGAAAGAAATATAAGGGAATAAGAAGGAAAAAGGAAAGCCTGGGAGGTCACCTGGAGATAGTAGACTTGGAATGAAGGACTTTGCAGTAGCTCGATGACGGAGGCGTTTGGACAGTGCCTTTAAAAAAATACCAAACCCTTTGTGGGTAGCTGTCGTGTTTTATTTTGGTATTATCCCCCCCCCCACGCCCCCGCAGCCTCTCGTGCCAGTTTGCCTGTCTTCAGGCGAGCCCAGTCATTTGGCGAAGTTTGTGTGGAAACCAGTTGGGTTTTGCGTTGCTCTCCAGGGTCATTATGATGTGGGTGGTTTCTTCGGAGAGGGCATTTCACGGCGCTCCTCGGAAATAAGGCTCTGGAAAAGGAGTTTAAAAGGACAAAACCAAACCAAAACAAGGGAAAACAAGCAAAAAAAAATGGGGGGAAAAATATAAACAAAAAAATCGAAGCCAACCCAGGGCGCTGCGTTCTCATTGTATTATTCCCTTCTTTTTTTTTCCCCTCGTGAAACTCCCAAATGGAGCTGACGTTGCGATGCAATAAACCTCCGTGTATTTAATTGCGTTCTGCAGAGTTAACAGGGCTTTACAGCTTTCCCGGCTGGAATTCCGGGTTGGGTTTCAACCCCACGGTGTGCCGGCGTCTTTTTTCCACACCAGGTTATGTGCAAATCTCCTTCTCTTCTCCCTCTCTGATACCTTAACGCTCCCCTTCGGGTTCAGGAAAATATTTGCCCGGAGATGACGGTCATTTTTAAAGTGCTTTTTTTTTTTTTCCCCCCTCTAATATTTCAAGGGGAGGGTTTGAAATATAGTTGCTAATTGCTACTGTTATGAGGTGGTTTTTAAATAAGATAATGTAAGAGCCTGTGTGTGTGATGCGAGATTGAGTAAGAGGAGATTCATTACTTAAGCATAAACCATTTTATGACGCGACGATTTATCTCACCTAAACTGCCTGTGCCTGAATATTGTGTGGACAAGAGTAAATGATCGCGAGTCACGGAAATAATAAACAGAAAGTCATTTTTAAAAAGCGATTTCTTGCCGAACCTGTTACATTTTTCATAAATCACGGGGTGGGGGCAAGAAATGAAGGTCGGTTCAGGCGCCTGTTCTCCCTTTTCCCTGACTCTGCCCGTGCTCGGTTTCTTTTCGCTTTCCGTAAGAAACAATGAATATCTAGAGATACAGCAATTTAATTTAATTTAGCAGCCTTGCTCCAAAACACTTTTATACCGATTCTTCCACATCCCGCGTGGGCAACCACTTGTGGAATTTAAAAGGACAAAACCAAACCAAAACAAGGGAAAACAAGCAAAAAAAAATGGGGGAAAAAATATAAACAAAAAAATCGAAGCCAACCCAGGGCGCTGCGTTCTCATTGTATTATTCCCTTCTTTTTTTTTCCCCTCGTGAAACTCCCAAATGGAGCTGACGTTGCGATGCAATAAACCTCCGTGTATTTAATTGCGTTCTGCAGAGTTAACAGGGCTTTAC